TGGCATATAGACTGAAACTGAAATATTGCTGTATGTTCCATGGTCTGAAACTGAAATACTGCTGTATGTTCCATGGTCTGAAACTGAAATACTGCTGTATGTTCCATGGTCTAAAACTGAAATACTGCTGTATGTTCCATGGTCTGAAACTAGAATTTTTCTATTTCTTTTTTATTTCTAGAGTAGTTTTATAAATTTCTTTATTTTGGTAGCTAGCTTTAAATACTAATTAACTGCATTGCACAACTCCTAACAGAGAAAAATAATTGAGAGTGGAATTGTTTTCGGAGACTGTATATATACACACTCATTCGGCAAAATAGAAGTTTTGTACTTCATCTATTGTTCTGCTACTATCTCTAACAAATGTAATCCTTTTGTCAGCTATAACTTGCCTCCGGCGTAAATAGATTATGAAATATTCTGCACACAACATCTTGCTTAGTTATTTAACTATTTTTATAAAATCGAGTGCCAACTAACGTTATTAATCTTATTAGAAACGTATCATCTGAGGAACGATCAGCCACTCACTTCCCTTGAGACTTTGTGAATTCAAATATCTTGGAAGAAGCTTACAAATGCCATCATGTATGCAAGGTTTATACAAAATTGTTTTGTTTTGTTTTTTGCTTCTTTTTGAACTTTGTGCAAAGCTACCGAGGGGAAAATGTTTTCCAGACGATCACATACACTGTTTTATGATAATCATAACAACTCAGATAATAATATAATTGTCAATAAAATACGCCAAATGTATGAAAATATTCCCAAACTATATGCAATAGTTATATTAGTCATTCTGGATTGAGCAAAACGTGGTGTCTGCAATGGATATGACGAATATAGTGTGTTTGAAATATTATCAATTTACGCTCTTCTAATTCTTGAAAATTTCTAAAAGGCTAAATTAAGAAAGTGGCGTTAGAATATAATAGGCCTAACATAATGTCTTATGACAAGTATAATTAACATAACCATGCATCGCGATTTTGTAAAAGCGATAACCATAACAATGTTGTTCTAACAAATGGCATGTACAGTTTTGTCCAAAAGTTCTGCATATTTTGTAACAAATAAGATCATTATTATCAAGGTGGAATACAAATAACATTATATGTATATATATATATATAAATATAATTTTTCTCCTGATGTCAAAACTGTTAAAGAATTGAACTTCGATATACCTGCAGATTATAAATTTCATTTTCAAAGTTGAATGAAGTTTCGACCATTCAAAAGTTCCAGAATGATCATTTTATTACGGCTCCGGTGGTAACAGCACAGATAGTCCACTTTGTATTGGCGGAAATTATTATCACGATTTGCTTATATTTAACGAGGTCAGTTATATATGCAAATGAAGTTACGAGGTCAAAATAGATTTGCATACAAAATTGTCATTTACATATTCTGACTGATCGATAATATACGCTCCTATTTCTTCATAAGCGAAAACATTTATTGGAAAATTTCATAGTGAAAAACTTAAAACTCGCAAGATGTTTTCTTTTACAGATGATTTAGGAAGAGTATTTATGATGATCAAACAAAGGTGAAATGGGCAGCAGCTGTATAATTCAAGTGATAATTGTGAAGAATGTTTTGGGACTAATCTACAAAAGTAGCTCAGGTAGAAAGGAAAACGTTTCGAAAGACTGCTGTTGATGGTTTTATAGTGTTGATGTAGAAAGGTTTTATGGCCTCTCAACAAGGTGGACCTTTCAAAAGCGCTCGAGCTATTTATGTGTTAAATTGAAGTTTTGAACTTATACGTTTTCCGAACAACATGAATGTATCTCCACGTAAGGAACATGGATCTAGTACCCCGTTTATTTCCTAATATGTTCGAATCCACGTCCCACCAAATATGCTCGCCCTTTCAGCCGTGGGGGCGTTATAATGTGACGGTCAATCCCACTATTCGTTGGTAAAAGAGTAGCTCAAGAGTTGGCGGTGGGTGGTGATGACTAGCTGCCCTCCCTCTAGTCTTACACTGCTAAATTAGGGACGGCTAGCGCAGATAGCCCTCGTGTCGCTTTGCGCGAAATTCAAAAACAAACAAACAATTTCCTAATATAGGTATTTTAGGTGACTATATGCTCAAGCACATGCACGAATAGTTAACATTTCTTAGTGGACACCGTATCCTTTCAAAATTCACGAGTGGAGCTAAAATAAACGATGCCATAGCTTCGATCATGTCTCTTCCTGAACCTGTCCGATTTTTGGTCATTCAATTTGGCACTAATGATCTGAAATGAACGATAAGAATTTAAAAACACTATATCCATTTCTTTAGCCTCAGACCACAAATTATCTCTAGTGTAATATATAAATCTTTAAACCTTTCATTTGATAATTTCAACAAATAAAGCAGCACACTAATCACACAACTGAACAATAAAGTTCCACATTTTAACAAAATAAACCCAAACCTTTGCAAACTTAACCCCAACTTGCCTTCATTAACCATACAAACCTAATACCACTCATTTTGTCGTGAGTGATGGACTTCACCTCATCTTCTAAGTCACTTCAACCATTTCACTTTGCTGTTTATAGCAGTTTTTCTAACCTTCCCTACCCATAATTTACATTCCATCATATCTCAACGTCTTACACTCTAGTACCTCTGTCAATCAATC